GCGGGGCCCCCCGGCGTGGCAGCCGGGGCTGGTGGCCGTCAGCAAGACGAAGCCGGCAGAGATGGTGATCGACGCCTACAGCCACGGCCAGCGCAGCTTCGGGGAGAACTACGTGAGTTGGCTGGGCCTCACGGGTCTGCGAGCGGGGCCCCCGCGCCAAGGGCAGGCGCTGGGCAGCCCAGTGCGCGTGGCCCTGCGCGTGGGGAGCGAGCCTTGGTTATAGCATCAGGCCCCTGGCCCTGTATTTGAGGCGCACGTTGGTCCCGGGAACACCCGTTCCAGGGAGACCGTTCTTGCGGTGCAGGCATGTCTGGTGTGGTTTTAACAAGAGATTTTCTTGAATTCTTCTAGGTTCAAGAGTTGCTGGAAAAGGCATCAGACTCCAGAGTAAGTACGCAGTTCCTTATATATTCTCTCTGCTTGTATAGCTGTGTACTGAGAGCTGTTCAGCAAGTGTCTTGTTTTTTGTTAGGGAATTGGCGATGGAGGCTGTTTGATCCTTGTCTTTTCAGATAAACGGAGGGGTTATTCTTAGCTCTTTGCCTCTGCCACGTCCACCCTCCTTGCCTTGCTGGCTCCAGAGGATTCTGTGAATACGTGCACCTTAGTCATAAAGTGTTTGTCTGAACAGTGCTTCACCTTTTGTGCTTCCTGCTTTAGGAGACGCGCAGTTGTCCTTTAAAAAAAAATGGTAACGCTCAGTTTGGGGAAAACACATCATTTTATGATTGTTCAGTTACAAAAGAGCTTTGCCTTCCCCATTCACCTTGTAACGCTCTGCAGCCACAGCCCTGTTCCTCCAGACTGTGAAGCAATCTTCAGTACACACCATAAGCACTGCGTGACCTGTGTCTGTCAGGGTAAACAAAAGAAGATTGGGTGTCTGGTATTTTGTTTGTGGGCAAACTGAGACTTAAGTACTGTGTGGGGAAGGGGGAATTGTCATTCAGACCTAACTGTTCCTCTGTGCTTTCAGATTCTGTCGTCTTGTCCGGAGATTAAGTGGCATTTTATTGGCCATCTGCAGAAAAATAACGTCAACAAGTTGATTGGTAAACTCTATTTAATTTTACGTGCAGTGACCCTGCGGGCAATAGTCTTCCAACATTCAAATGATAACAACCTCATGTACATTAACTTACTAATGCCTCTCTCTGTGACCAAGCTGAGTTGTAGGTACAAAAAATTCTGTGCCAGCAGAATTGCCCTCAGCCTGTGTTTTCTCCCCAGCTGTCCCTAACCTGTTCATGTTGGAAACGGTGGATTCTGTGAAACTGGCAGACAGAGTGAACAGCTTATGGCAGAAAAAAGGGTCATCTCAGAAGCTGAAGGTCATGGTGCAAGTTAACACAAGTGGAGAAGACAGTAAGTGGCTTTTTCTGATGATATGCAAGTTTGTCCTGCTGACTTGATAGAAACAACTTGAATGGGATGGGTTGGTTTGCGCTCTTAAAGCGTTTCTCTAAGCTAAGATGAAACTCAGTCATCTGTTGGCTTCTGCCTGGTTGCGAGGAGGGGAGGTCTCTGGCAGAGCTTGGCACAAATCTCCCCACTTTTTGCCAGGTAAGCACGGCCTTCCTCCCGGAGACACCACAGCTGCTGTGGAGCATGTCATCAACAAGTGTCCAAGCCTGGAATTTGTGGGGCTGATGACGATCGGCAGCATTGGGCATGACCTTAGTAAGGGCCCAAATCCTGACTTCCAGGTAAGATTTTCTAGAAGAAAATGTCAACTGTTGGCTGGCCTCCTGTTTCAGTCTGTTGTCTGTCCCAGCCAAACCAGTACACGGTCAAGCTGTAAGTCTGACTGTAGATTGTCAATAGAAACACCTTGTTCAGAGTAGTACAGACCTCTGAAGTGTCAGTATTAACGCAGGTGTTAGGCTCATTTCTGCAGAGGCCAGGTGCCCATACCCATATGTATTCGGTCCCATCCCTTCTCTGAAGCTGTAGCCCAGGGTACTGGCAGGGGCACCTTGTGCAGCAATTACTGTCCTGGATCCTCTGGTCCTGCTTTCAGATGAGGTTTCAGTCAGCCTTTCTTTGCACGCTGTGTGCACAGGGCTGCATCAGGCAGAGGAACTGGGTCTGCGTTCCTCGTCTGTCACGCTGGTGTGATAATTGGACGTCTTCAGATGTGTAGACTCGTAAGTACGTGTGTTGTCAGTGATGTAGCCTGTAACGGGAAATCTCCAGGCGCTGTTATGATGCTGCAGAGCAAGCTTCAGTGGGAAGTGTGGGTATTTCACATTCTGTGTGAAGGAGACTTCAAAGAAAGGCAGAAATTGTGATCCGTGAAACCCTGAAACTGGGCCGGTGTGGCTGTCAAGTGTGCGATCCTCTCTTCTTTCTTCCTCCCTTCTAGATGCTGCTATCTTTGCGGCAGGAGGTGTGCGAAAAGCTGAATCTCCCCGTTGAGAAGGTGGAGCTGAGCATGGGCATGTCCACAGACTTCCAGCACGCAGTAAGTCTGGTTTCCTTCTGCCACCCCTTCTCTCGGGAACCAAACGTACCAGCACCAGCAGGAGGCACCCCAAAGTCCAGCCCAGGCGTCATCCAGAGGGGCCTCTTAGGCCTCCCCTTGGATGGAGATACTGATGGTGCTGTTCCATGAAAAACAGCGCTCCTGGGATAGAGTTCTGGGGATCAAAACAGGCCCTAGCTGCAGCTGCGGATGGCGAGTACACGGGGAGCCGTCCTTCTGTGACACGGCGAGCGTCGCGGCTGGTTACGGACTGTGTTGGCAGGTGTGGGTGGCAGCCCTGCCCTGAGCTCCTCCTTTCTGTCTCTTTGTAGATAGAGGTTGGATCCACAAACGTCAGGATTGGAAGCACTATTTTTGGAGAGCGAGATTATTCCAACAAAGCGGTCGGTGGCAAGGCCCCTGCTGAAACGAAAGGCAAAACGGAGACCTTGGCAGTGCAGGGTCATTAGGTGGAAAAAAAAAGTGGCCTCGACAGAGGACAGATGATGGGAGACCTCACTATGCATTCTTACCTCCCTCTGTTTTGGCACCCTGTTGCGATGGTGAGAGGGAATTCCTCGTAACAGAACAGAGGCCAGAAATGCCTCATAATTTATTGTGATTATAGAGTACTCATAGAAACTGGAAATTTTTATAACCAACAAATGATAAGAAAATTTATTGTTGAAAGTGACTGTGGTATCTTGGCTCCTTCAGGGTCATTAAGAACAGTGACTTTTGGCTGAACAAACTAAACGTTTGTCAGGATGGAGTTCCTAATGAGCAAGATCTGTCTGCAGCAGGGTCGGTGATTATGTTTTCACTGAGGACTGAATTCTTCATTAAACAAGTTATAATCTTGCCAGAGACCTATAAATGTTTCCCCAAATAAAAGTTTTGCACGTGGTCGCTACTGAGGGATGCTTACGTAGAAACTGATAGAGGCATACTGTGACACTGGAGAGACTGTGTCCGTTTAAACGGAGGACGAATAACAAGCACACACGGGTGGATGAGGAGCACAGTTGCCAGCATGAGTTCATGGCGTAAGGTTCTGGGTGCAGATTGCAAGTGTGGGAGTGTCTTTTCGGCTGAGGTTTATATTTGTCCTTTTCAGGCTGACACCGCTAACTTTTCCCATTGGTTCCGTGTCTGCTCAGATCTGGGATGCTTTCAACCTTCCCCTTCCCCTCTTGTGAAGTGTTGTTGGGAGTTATTTTCATCCTGCGCAGTAGTTCTTGACGCTGTAAGTTCTTTTTGGTCAGAATGGGGCTTTTCTGCAAGGTCCCTACCATCAGCTTGCTGTTGCTTTCCAAGGCAAGTCACGTAACTGTTTGGTGCCTCCACCATCCCGTCGACATCTGTATGAGGATAATAGTGCTTGTCTCACAGGGCAGCAGCGAGGCTTGCTAGAGGCCCTTCGGGAGAAGGACTTCGGAAAGTAAGGTAGTATTATTCTACCGTGTTCTAGGTTCCTGAAAAAAAATCCAGTCGCCCCTGACAGAGCTTCTGGGCGATGTCTTAGTATCTTAAGCACTGGCCTAGCCTTCACTTCTGGAAGAGGGGAACGACTCTTTCGCTGCAGTAACTGTTTCATTCCGATGTGAGCGGAAGCTCCTGCATTGCCACGTGCTATTTGGCCAGCGGTAGCTACGGCAAGTCTCTCCTGCAACCTGTGTTGCAACTACATTTTTGGGCTTTTGTGTGCTGCTAAGAGGACGAGGCAGCGGTTGCCAGCAGAAATACCCTTCCCAGGCTTTTCTCTGTGTGTGTGTGTGGTTAAACCTAGCTGTTGGTTTTACTCTCTGACTATAAATGCTGAATGTACATGAAAAGAGTCAACTCTAACACCAACCTGTCATAGCTACGTGGTTTAGAAGCAACATGCAGTCTGAGCTGCCCTCCTCGGCACTGCACCGTGTGTTGTTTCATAGTCTATCAATAAAAAGTGGTGAATTTTAATACCATCTGTGCCAACTACAAAGCTATTAAAGATGTTATTTTTATGTTCCAGCGTTGTGAATAAATGCCCTGGGTTGCCGTTGAAGCTATTTCCCTAACCTGGAGCTGCTGTTGGGAGAGACTCGCTTCTCTCGGGATGGAGGGAGGAGGGTGGTTTGAAAGAGAGCTGAAACAGAGCTGGCAAAGACAGTGAAGCTTTCTTTGATCAGAAGGGGAAAAAAATAGCTGCGTCGGGCGAGATGTCAGATAGCGTGAGCTATTTCTGGAGAAGCCCTCTGGGTGGCACTGCTGCCCAGGTCCGGGGCAGCGCTCCTGGTCCACCGAAGGAGGGACGACAGCTCCTCGGCTGCTCGCAGACAGGTACGGATCAGTAATGGGTCTCAAAAATAACTGTATTTTTCCATCTGGTGGTTGAAGTGACTCCCTTCCTCTTCCACCTCTTTCTTCCCAGAATTTCGGCACCGCGCACTGACCACAGATCCTCGTGTTCGCAAGTTTCACAACATGAAAAGCCTTTCGTTCATTTTACAGAACGAAGTCAGGACACCCGTTCTCCTATCTGAATTTGGTTCAAATGCGCGAAGGCCGCCGGTGTCCCTGCAGTGTTTGTTTGCTACTTGTGCAATGTTGGCTGGAGTTCTCCACAGCAAACGAGGAACGAAAGTGATCTGCTACCTGAGCTTACAGAGCTAGCCCAGCCCCGGAGCGGGCGGTTCTGAGCCTGAGGGGGTGATCGGGGACCCCCTGACGGGGGCCTGACAGGGGTCAGACCCCCCGCTCTGCTCACCCCCTGCCGACGGCCCTTTCCCACCAGCCTGCGGCTCCAAAACCAGCTGCGCTCCCACAGTTCTTTCTGTTCAAGCACGGAGCAGCGGGGTGGGTTTACGTTGGGAATTGTCTTGGGTTGGGGCTCACGTGCCCTCTTGCTTTTCCTCTCTCGGGCATTTTGTGCTTATTTCCTGAGTTGAAACTGGATGCTAGCCAAGCTTAAAGAAGTAGCAAATGGTGTAAACTGGGAGGTGGGTGTGCACGGGTGGCTGTGGGGCAGCGCAAGGCTTGTCCTGGCTTCCGTGCCCTGGAGTTCTGACTCGGCACAGCGGTATTTAAGGAGCAGACTGGCTCACGAAGGCGTGTGGTCTTCTGGTTTGCTGATCCGCCTGCGTACTTCTGCTAAAACGCTTAGGGCTCTGTCAGCTTTGGTGGTGGCCTCCCCCATGAGACCGCAGCAGAACTGCGTGCGTCCTGCTGGTTCTGGAGAGCCGTGCCACGCGGCGCTGGGGACGCGCTCAGCTGTGGGACGCCTCTCCCCTCCAGCCGGCTTGTGTCCGGGCTGCGCAGGTGGCCTGCGGGGAGCAGCTTGGGTGCTGTGCCTGAACAGCAGCGCTGGCTGCAGCTGTGGTGGCGCGTGTTGGGCCGCGACACGGCGCTGGAGCGGAGAGGAGAGGAGAGCAGTGTGAGCTTCCGCTCCCTTCCTCTGCAGCTGCGGCTCTCGCCCATCCTGCTTCCAACAGGCTTTTTTCTTCTGACTGCACCGTGCCTGAGCGCTTTGCTGTGCTCCTCCTGTGGCTGAGCCTTCCCGAAGCCGGTGCGGTGGGCAGTGCCCACCGGCGCCTTCTGCCCCTCCTCGGGGCTCCCACCTCAAGCCTGAGCCGGGAGGAGCGGCGGTGTCGGTGACGCCGGACACCTGTCCGGGGGGAGCGGGGCGCGGACCACCCACTCCTTCCACGGAGGTCACCCGGCAGATGGTAACTGTTGGTCACTGGAGGGGAGCCAACGAGCCAGAGATGAAAGGCTCCCCGGCCTCTTAATGAACCACTCCCCGCTCAGGCACCTCGGCCCCCTGCAACACAAGCTTTATTTACATCTATTAAAAGCACTTGGCCGGTTTATTGAAGCAGCAGTGCTCTCGCTCCCCGCTCCTCGGGGCAATGTCACTGTCAATATTTGCCTTGGAGAAATGCGTCCAGCAGACGAAGGCTTCTTCTGCGGCCAGAGGGACGACTCCTCCCTCGTGACTTACAGCCCTTGCTGCTGGCCGATGGCGCAGGCGCTGTCACCTCCTGGAGCAAAGGCACAGCCCCACGTTTCCCAGCAGTCCCCTGAGGTGACACTCATTTCCACGCTGTCCCTCGGATGAGGGGCTGGCTGAGGCGGTGCTGGCTTGGGCGCCCCCCCCCCCCAGAGCCGTGCGGGCGTGCAGAGCAGGACTTCACGTGCGCTATGGAGAACTCTTCCCGGGGGGGTTTGGGGAGCATCTGTGGGCAGAATTGGCTGCTTCTAAAAGGAATAAAACTGTCAATTATGCTGGATGGGGTGATGTGCTGCTGCTTTACCTTTCCTGGCTCCTGGGGAGATGGGCTGGCTGCTTGAAGCCATCCTCATCCTCGGGGAAGTGCTGGTGCCGGAGCAGCAGCCTCTCCTGTTAGAGGCACTCTCTGAAGTTGCTGAGCTCCACAGGCTCTGGTTACCCATTAGGTGGGAGTCCAGGCACCGTTCACTCCCCTTCTCCCACAAAGCCAGTCTTGATTTATTTTTTATCAGATAATATCCTTTGTGTTGCAAAGTGTCTGGAGCCGAGCTTGGCCTCCCTGCCAAATCGCAGCGCAAGCTGGGTGTGCGATGCACGCAGCAGATGTGCAGGGAGGCAGCGGGGGCCGAGCCCAGCTCTGCGAGCGGGGAGGGCTTGGAGGGACACGAAAGCATCTGCTCCCCAATGCGTGGCACTCGGTGCCATAGCCAGGCCAGGTCCCGGTGCCCAGCACCCTGCCGTCTGTGGGCAGGCGCAGGGTGCTCGGCTTCCGTGAGAATATCAAGAGATTTGGGTCAGTTCCCTGCTCTGCCTCAGGCTCCTGCTGCGGCCGGGGATGCTGCGGGCAGGTGAGAGCCCGGGGGGGGCCGGGAGCAGCTCGGCCTGGAGGCAGAGCCCGCTGCAGCCCTTCAAAGTGGAAAGTGTGTTTATTTCTGGGATATCGGGTTTCCGGCAGGAAGGCCGGCAACTGCCAAGGTTTTTATTGGATCCCAGTGAAAGGAATTTAGAGAGTCCTGTGCTTGTTGTCTTTCTCTGTGCCTGCAGTGGTTAAGGAGCATTTTTACCTTTAAATGGGAGCGAGAGGCACAGGGATTTGGCATCCGGCACCGGCACGTCCGTGGTGATGGAGTTTCAAACAGGTTGCCTTGTTGTCTCCCGGGCAGGAGGCATCAGGAGGGATCGGGGCTGGGAAAACACGGAGAGGGGCTTGGAAGCAGTTGAAAGAACCTGAAGTCCATCGGGCTCGAAGCATGTGGGAAGTGTTGCTTGAGCTCCTCTCCTTGTAGCGGGGCTGGGGCCGGGTATTTCACATTTATTACTAGTTTGGACAAGGTTTTGACTGTTCTTGGAGGTAATTTTATAGGAGATTGAAATTCTGAAGACCATGTACAGTGGCTTGATTGCTTCAATGTGTCGTGGAGACAACTCCAGAGCTCTGATTGCCTTTGGATGCTGCCAGCACTGACCAACATCCTCCAGGGCCCGAGATCCGTGCCAAGTCCCGTTCCTGTCCATGCATGGGGGGCTCTTGGCTTAACGCTGGGGTTTCCCAGGGCCCCTTCTAGCCCAGCTGTAGAGCCGCTGCCCTGAGGAAGAGGAAGAAGAGGGGCAGCGGCTGTGGTTTGGATCAGGGTCAGAGCTGCACTCGGTAGGAACACGAGTGTGAGCAGCTCCCTGGCTCTCCCTGCAGAGGAGAAACAAAATGGGCCATTAAGGCAACACAGAATAACGCGGGGAGGAGAGTGCTCTGGAGCAGCAGGGCCACCCGCGGCGAGGTGCAAGCCCAGGCTCTGCTCGAGGTCCCTCCAGCCACTCTGGAGGATTGGAGCACTCCATCCCTCCAGCCATTGCTGGAGGGAACGTCGCTTTCGCCCCGAGTGTCGTCCTGCAAGGGTGGCCCTGCCCGCCTGCCCACGCGAGCGTGCCCGCGGCCTCGGCTCTCCACCTTCTGCTCCTCGGGCGGGTTTTGTTGGACTCTGTGGAGGACTGGGGCTGCCTAAGTGTTCGGCCATTCCCTTGGGGATGAGGCACTGAAGTCTTGTGTCTTGCTCCCAACTCTTGAGCTGATGGGCACAGAGGTGAGCGGTTCTGCACGGTGGCTCCTAGGGTCCTTGCAAGTGCTGGAGTTCTCGGAGGCAAGGCTTTCTTCATTTAGGGCTTGATCCAGCGAAAGAAGGTGGCTGAGCCCTGTGTACTGCGGTGTTTTGGGATTTCTCTGTTTGGTGCTGGGTTCGGTGTGCTGTGAGTGCCTGTTGTCTAAATCAGATGTCAGACAAGCAGTCTCTTCTCTCCCTTGGTGGGGATACCCGGGGAGAGCAGTGAGGTCCAGCCTGTAGGCTCATCTCCTCTAGAAGAAGGAGGGAAAACCACTCTTGCTTTCTGCAGTGTTTAAAGTGGGAGGCACAGCTCACCACTTTGGTTTTTGGGAGGGGTTTCATACTGTGCAGATGCTTTGCAGGATCTCTGAGCGGATACTGGACACAAGCGGTTTCCTGTTGCTCTTCCAGCTTCAGCTGCAGGATCTGGGATCAGCATCCTGCAGCGCTGAGCACAGGGGGGTAATTTCTGCAGTGGAAATTTTGCTCAGTGGAAAAAAGAAAAAAAAAAGAGGGGGCACTGTTGATTGTTGTGGTTTTTACTAGCAAGATGATGCCGGTCTCCAGCGCTCTGGGGTCCAATGGCTGACCACCCGGGGCCAGGGGGTGGGAGGTCTGTGGGGGGTGTGACTGGCCACGGAAGAGCTCTTGGGGCTGCAGTCCTTGGTCCTGCCTGGCGGGAGGCAGCGAGTGCCCGGGCAGGGCTGAATGTGGGTAGGGAAGAGCTGGAGAAACGAGGCAACCGCTGGTTAAGCGGCTAACGAGCTGTGCAGGACCCTGGGCTGCTTGCACTCCCGAACAAAAGCGCCTGTGGACACAGCTTGGGCGTGTGTGCTGATGAGTATCTTCTCTTTCCGACGCCCACCGCCACAGCAAGATGTATTTATTTGGAGAAAGGAGTAAATTTCTTTTCCCCTCCAGGAACTATTGGTCCTGGAGAGAAACCGCATTCCCAGAGCCGTCTCTTGTCATCCTTCCATGACCCTCTTCCTCCGCTCCCTGGTGCGGGGTCCTGGAGACTTCATTGCCTGCTTTTGATCCCTTTTGATTTGAAGCTGCAGTGAGCCATGGCCTCAGAGAAGCAGAGCCCCGGGGGGGAAGAGAGGGACGGGGGCAGCGCAAGAGGCAGCAGGGACGTGGGAGGGGGGAGCGGGAAGGAAAATATTGAACTTAGCGTGAAAACCAGTGAAGCAAACAGGGAAGGTAAGAAGGGAAGAGTGTTAACTGTGGAGCGGAGGCCAGGAGGGCACGGAGCAGCGTGACCATGAAGTGAACTGTGTGAGTTTGTGCAGGGGGTTCCTCCTTCGCGTGGGGTCCCGGCAGGCGATGGGAGGCCACAGAGCCCCCACGTGCAGGAGGGCTGGTGGGGCCATGTGCGTGCCACCACCCTGGACACAGCACCCTGTACGTGT